AGAGAGAGAGAAGATGTGGATGAATGTGCAGTTGGTTAAGGCAAGCCAAGCTGGCTGCAGAGCATGTTATGAGCTTGGTAAGCAGAGATGCCATGATGGTTCTCCTGCGGTCAAGAAGAAGAAGAAGAAGAAGAAGAAGAAGAAGAAGAAGAAGAAGAAGAAGAAGAAGAAGAAAAAGAAGAAGAAGAAGAAGAAGAAGAAGAAGAAGAAGAAGAAGAAGAAGAAGAGAGAATGAATGGATTTGTGTTCTCCACACACAATTGAGACTAATCGTTGTGGCCGCGGCCAACGATGCCTGCATTGCAGTGATTGTTGTGCCTAACTAGAAAGTCCGGAATACTTTCATCACCTTCGGCATACTAATTCGGACTCGGATGCTAATTCTTGTGCAGGACTTTCTGGTTAGGTGACATTTGATTTGTGTTCAATTAGCATGTGAAGATGGTGAAGTATTCAGCAGTCCGGCGAGGCTATCCAAAGAGCTACTTCAGGCCAGAAGTCTCTCCAGAAAAATGGACCAAGAGTTATGCAGATTTAGTCTCCGAACCTTTCAGCGATCACTACGGTGCTCGTCCTGGAAGGGCATCAGCAAGTAACTCAGAGAAGCCATATAGAGCAGGGAGATCGACTTCTCAGAAAAATGATTTTGCGGGTCGGGGTGCTGCATTCTATTACACCAGTTGGAATCTAGGTATGGTACCTCCTCCTCACAATGCTGTGCTCTCCATGTTTCTTCCCCCTACAAGGTTTTTTAGCTGCAGGTGCAACGCCAACCGCAACGTGAGGTTACCAAATACCAGAGCTATAGACAGTAGCAGCGGCCCCAGCACAAGGAAAACCACCACCACCACCACCACCACTAACAACAACAACAACAGCAAGAAGAAGAAGAAGAAGAAGAAGAAGAAGAAGAGGAGGAGCCATGTATGTAATTGATTGCATCTATAACAACAACAATAACAACACAAATTACAACAACAATGACGACGGTCATCTCTGAGTCATCCATTTATGTTATTGATTGCCATTTACATAATTGATTCCAGGTGACGACCCATCATACATTGCTGGGAAGAGATGGCAGGGATCAGAGACCAAGTTGTCTTACAAGGAGTGGAAGGATTTCCCAAAGCGTGCGGTATGCTTCTGCAGCTCCTTTTGTACATACATTTCTTGGAATAAATTTCAAAATTCAAATATTTATAATGTGTTAAAAAACACCGTTAATAACTTCTCACGCGAGTATGGAAAAGGTTGTGACTCTTGTGACTCTTTTCTTGGCTTTGACATTCAGACTGGATATCTCAGCAGGAGCCGTTCACTCTCTTTGTCGGACCGTTTGGATGACCTGAGAGAGGAGCCTCTCGGGGGTTTTCAGTCCTGGTGTGAGCATGGGGTTCTCTCGACTTCTCTGTGATCTAAACCAGCAGTAATCCAGCCTTGTTCTCAATATTTGTGCCTTTCATTTGGGGGCACATGGTTAGAAAGGGTTGGTCGCAGGGGGAGGACGGAGGGAGGTGGTGTTGCTGCTGCGCATGTGTGTGTGTGTGTGTGTGTGTGTGTGTGTGTGTGTGTGTGTGTGTGTGTGTGTGTG